TATCAAATATATACTGAAAGGATGAGGATACAGCTCAGCAGCACTAGTGCCTGCCTACCAAGTGCAAGGTTCTGAGTTCAATTTCCATACCAAAAAAAGACAAATATATACTGAGTACTTAGAATAAACACCAACATTTTCTATATCAATATTTGTTTAAATCTAAACAATTAACAATAAATAAATTCCCATATGAACTACAATGAAAATACAAATAAAACTCCCACAACAATAATCTACTTCAAATAGCACACATAAGGTAGTTTTCACATTTGAGAACCGCATGTTTCATCACAACCATTGCTTAAACTGATAGTACGAATGTTTTGTTTTCCTGTCTTCTTTGTTGTAACATATTTGACAACTTGCTTGTCTTCCTGTTTTCTTCGAAGGTTCTTGTGATGTCTTACTTGTCTCTTCACTGGTATTCTACAAAATTCTTTAGCAAGAGTTCTTTGGGTAGATACATACTGTTCTTTTTCCATTGTAATTGATCAGTTATCAATTCCCAATCCTCTAATAAAATTTCTTTGTGATATTTTGTGTGAATGAATTTTTAGGGTCTAGTAAAACACAAGCATTGGCCAACACTTGTTTCCAGTGATACCACAGTTGCTGTATAACTCCTCCAAAACACCTCTTCATCTTTCGTTTTGTTGTAAAATATAACCATTTTTGCCTTCATTTGTGTTCAGGATTCACCTTGTTCTGTTTGTTGTTTTGAGACTGGGCTCTCACTTATGTAGCCTTGAATTTACTATATAGCACAGGCTTACATGTGCTGGGATAATAGGTGTGTACCACTATGCCTGGCCTCACTACCAATTTTATCATCGTGTTGTAAAACTGACAGTATGAATTTTGCTATGTTTTTCTTTGCCATAATGTAGTCCAGGTTAGCCTGGACTTACCTTGAATTCACAAGTTCTTCCTGCCTCAATGTCCTGAGTGCTAGCATCACAAGCATGTACCACCCTCATACTACCCTTCCCAGCCTCACTATCAATCTTACTATCATGGTATAATGTTGATGGTATCAATACTACTTTGTTTTTTTCTTTGCCACATAGGAGGCCAATGTTTTGTCTTTCCCAAAGACAAAGACTGTATCATATATTTGTCTATTGTGAAACTGCAACATTCCTTTCAAGAATCTCAACTTCATTTTTTTTTTTTTTTTTTTATGTGTTTGGTACAGGGTTTTGCTACGCAACTCAGACTCTAGTGATCCTTGTGTTTTCAGCCTCCCCAGTGCTGGGATTACAGGTGTGCGCCACCACGTCAGGTATCGGAGGCCATCTTGGTGTGCCCAGGGTGGAGCCAGCACCACATGTGGTACTGGGGATTAAACCCAGGTCCTTGCGCTTGCCTAGGCAACCACTTAGACCACTGAATTATCTCCATGGCCTTTGCTTTGCTCATGCACATAGTTCCTATGCTGGTCAACTGGTGTTCTTTTAGCAAATGTAACATCAATGGGTAATTACTGAACCAATTGTTGAATGTGACATTTGGGTTACTTTTTGAAACCCAAATGGTGCAACAAGTCTATTCACACAATCATATGGTTTATTACTGCACAAAGAAAGACCTAGTATCTGAGTTCCAGGGTAAATTTCTAAATTTAAGCCATAAAATGTCTTCCCATCTTCCAGGGCATATATTTTATACCATATTTGGTATATTTTTATACCATATTTGGAAGGTGTATGTTGACAAAATTGTCAACAATCATGAAATGATGAAAGTTTTTTTGTTAACTGTCACATAATCAGACAGCATATAAATTGCCTGACAGTTTGAAACAAAGCTTTCAACAATGAGCAAATAGCAGCCACATTGTCAGTTTTTTTGTTTTGTTTTCCTTTCATGGTGGGTCTTCCTGTCATAAAAACAGAGAAATTTTTGAAGGAAACCAAATCTATTGAGCCTCATTTCTGTTCTAAAAGTCTCAACACCATATCTGTCACTTTTCTATAAACTCATTTAGATTCTGACAATTAGAATGACAGTCTTGCTATGAAGGCTTCTAGTTTAAGCAGTAAGGTGTCATGATAAATATATTTTTGAGTATTATTAATGGTGCACATAGAATGTTTTCTTGCATTTCTTCATTAGTGTATTTCAAAGCATCTTGTAGCAAGCATATCATGTTAAAAACAATAACAATAAAAACAATAACCTAACAAACTAATAACATTTTCTAACTTAATTCTAACCTTAGATCATTCAGGTATACATGATTGGGTTGGCCAGATAGCTCAGCAGACTAAAATGCCTGCTTAGGCAGAGTGCAGCGGCAGGGATTCAATCCTTGGCATGAGGTGCCAGCCCTGCCCCCAGGGTGTGCTGAGATGGGAATTGAGATGGGCATGGTGGCACACTCCTGTAATCCCATCTTGGGAGGCTCAAAACAGGAGAATCATTATGAGTCTGATCTATGTAGTGAGACCCTGTAGACTGTGTAGACCCTGTACTAAATACAAAAACAAATAAACAAACAAAAAACTTATTTCAGGTATACATGATTATTTTGACTAGTCAAATATTTATTTACATTACTGTTTTCTTCCTCATTTGAATCAAAGTCTTCATTCTAAACTTCTCTG